GCCCCTTGGTCACCAGGGTGCCCAGGACCTGTTGTTGGCGGGGGGCGGATGAGGTTGGGTGATGTGAGGGGTGGGGTTCGGGGTTTGGGGTTGGGAGTGTGTGTGTGTGTGTGTGTGTTTGTATGGGGGCCGACACGAGGTGAGCAGTGGGTGGGGGGTGATGATGGTAGTGGCGGTGGTGTTGACGGTGGTGGCGGTTCATGTTGGTCACTGCCAAGTTGCTTGCGCGTCGCGCCACCAGCAGTACAGCTCCCAGCTCCCTCCCCCCACACACAAACACACACGCCTTGACAAAACGCGCCTCATCAACACACACACACACACACACACACATACGCGCACACGTAACAAGCACACAAGCACACAATGACCAGACATGCACACTCACACACACTTGCACATGATCACACACACATAAACAGTAACATAGTGACACACACACGCATAAACGACCACACACACACACTCTCTTAAACACACATTCGTACATCCACCAAAACTGCCCGTCCCCCCAACCGCACCTCCTCGAAGGTGGAGCTCTCCTTGACGGTCACAACCGGCGCCTTCTCAAACAGCACGCCGTACTTGCCCTCCTCCGCGCCCTCCACGCGCTTGCCGGCCAGCGCCTGCTCCTTCGTCACGCCAGCGACGCCGTTGCGCACCGCCACGAACTCGCCGGCCGGCAGCAGCAGCAGGGGGAACTCCTCGGGGGTGAGGCCCCTGGGGGGAGAGGGTGGTGGAGGGTGGGCGTCGTGGAGGGTGGGGTGGGGTGGGGGTATGGAGACTCGCGTAGCGTGTACTAGCTTCAGGGTGGGGTGTGATGGGGTGGTCTGCGTCAGTCGCAGACCACCCCAGACAGCTCGGCAGAGCGCCGCGGCCTTCAACATGCAGGGGGCACACGGCTTCAGCTCCACGTTGCAAATGTTCTGATCACATATGCAAGACTCGTGTGCACACACACAGGCACTTCCTGTGTGTGTGCACTTCCTCTTGCATGATCACACAAACACACACACACACACACGCGCGCGCTCACACATAGACACACACACATGCGCACACCTAGGCAAACACACAGGCACGCACCAAGGCAATTACATTTCCAGGTACATGATCCCCCCACCCCGACCCCGACCCCCTCACCTGATGTCCGACACCGACAGGTTGGCCACCAGCTTCCCGCCGTCCGTGAGGCCCAGGCTGCTCTTGTGGTCGCGCGCCATGAAGCCAAACGCCTCCAGCGCCGGCAGCGTGGCCGGCACGGTCAGCGCGGCGCCGTCGTCCATCTCGAGGGACTCGACGGTGGACGACAGCACGGGGCCGAACACGGCGCGGTTGTTCCAGAGCAGCTTGATGACGTCAGACTGGCTCACCACATGGGTCACCTGGTGACAGGGGGGGGGCATGGTGCCGGAGGGCCAACAGCAGGGTCGATGGGTCGCGGTGCGGCCAGCGGGGCTTGGATGCGGGTTCTGAATGGCGGCGAGGTGGGGCTTTGTCGGGTGCGGGGGGCCTCTCTGACTCATGCATACACGCGGGCAGGCAGCCGCCCCTTTCCCGATCCCGGGTTGTTGCGATCACTCCCTTCAGCCAGCCCCATCCCCCCAAAAGCACACACAAGTCCGTGCGCGCACACAAGCACACACGCAGCCCCCACCTTGAGGCCCGAGGCGGCAAGGCGCTCGCTGCCCGGGGTGACGTTGACCACGGTGGTCTTCTGGCTGGGGCTGCGGATCATGCGGCCGGGCTGGGCGGTGGAGCAGACGTACAGGCGGTGGTGCACCTAGGGTGGGGTTGGGTGTGGGTGTGCGTGGGTGTGAGGGCTCAGTGCTGGTGGGGGTTGAAAGGGGGTAAAGGGCTGGGAGGGAGGATCACGGGCTGCGTCCCGGCCGCCCACGCCTGGCGTGTGGTTCCTGTCAACATCCGTCATGACCGTTGGCCGCAAAGATTGGATGAAGCCCTGCGCCTGCGCACGCGCGGCGCCGCTTAGCTCCAACCCCACAGCCTCCACAGCAACGAATCCTGGCTACGGCTTCACCGTGTCTGCTGCCACCCAGCTGAGTGAAACGGTCAACGGTCAACAGACAGGTGCTGTTCTCGCGTGGGCCCCGCGGGCCTCACGTGCTGGTCCTGGATGCGGAAGGACTCAATGACGGCGTCCATGAGGGTGGAGGCGTCGTCCGCGTTGAGCAGCCACAGGTCACCCGCGTGCTGCAGCTTGTCCACGGTCTGGGGGAGAGGGGGAGAGGCGCGCAGGTGGGTGATGGGTGTAGGTCGAGTATACGGCACGTGCGCATGTGTGTGTGTTTGTTTGAGAGAGCGTGTGCATGTTTGTGTGTAGGGGTGCCTCCGTGCACGCGAAGTGTGTGGGTGCGTTTGGGTGTGTGTGGGACAGCCCGTTCACTCGGGCGAGCTGTAGGGGCCATGATGGGCGCTCTGTGCCTGACCAATAAATAAGGTATATATTCAGGAGCGAATGCAGCCTGTGTAACAGCCCGCTAGGTTGCTCTTCGCGGAGTTGGCTTCCCGGCCCGGCCGTTCATTCGCTTCATTCGCTTGTGCTGCACAACCAAGACCACTAGCTCGTTCCAGTGTCGGCTTAATTCGCTCCTGGCATAATTTACTACAATCTTAGCTGTCA